CACTATTTGAAAAGACAAGGGAGTTTCTCCTGGTGTCCTGGCCAACAATCCCCAAAGGCATAGAAAAAAAGTTTATCTCATGCTTCATGAATAGAGTGGGCACACTGGGAGATCATTGATGTGAACCCAGTAGGAATAAGAGAAGTCCAAATCTATTTGATACAATTTTCTTTAATGTTTTAACATCCAGCACACAGACGCCAATCTTGTATAAATCTAATAAATGTCACAAAAAGGTTTATTAGCCCTGTAGCATATTGGTTGGTTAGTGGGCTCATCTTGCAAGGGAGAGAACCCAGGTTTGTTTGCTGGGCCATTCCAGAAAACTGATGTTTCATAATAATGGTAATAGAGTAGCTTATCGAGACATAGTGGCTGTTGGGATTTGTCTTGCTAGGAAAGCATTTTGGGCTTTTGGGCTTTGGCTTACAGAACTGAAGAAAAGTCATAGCTCCTTGAAAAGTCAGAAAGCATAGACAACCATAAATATTGCTGCAGAACTGCTCTCAGAATCAGTACAACCTCAGGGAGGCTCTCACTTACCTTCCCCTCTTCAACAACATATTCTATGAGATATGGAACAGCTGCAAATGTAGAAATTCCTCCAATGTCGGGACATATTTGTATTGAGATGAAAAATTTATGGGCTCATCCTTACCACCATGGTTGTGATTCTCTTCATCCGGCCCTCTATGATTCTATGGCATTTCTGCTTCTAAAGCATGAAACACTTTAAGAAGCTATGCCCTCTACCAACTAAAGAAACCAGCACTAACTGTGGTGTCAAAATTCTGAGGTCTAATAGCCTCTTCCTGTTTTCTTCCAACTTAGTTTCTCAAAGGAAAATACTTTTTTTGTCACAATTGTTCCATATCTGAACAAACATACGCCCTTCAATCATTAATTTTTTTCACTGAAGAGCGAAAGCCAAAGCACAGAAAAAACACAAAAGAGTTCACTTTTTATCATAATGGAGGAGATGGGGGGGGAAAAAGAGTGGGCGCAAAGGAGAGATGTGTCGGTTAATTGAGAGAGTGGAGGGGGAGAGAGGAAGAGAAGGGGAAGGATTTGGGTTGGACAAAAAGTGAAAGAGTTTGGGCCGGATGATTGTTGGAGATCAAGGGTTGGAGGGGTTTGGGATGGCGGGGGCAGAAATAGATGGGGTTGGGTTGAGAGTTGCAGAGATGGGTGCGTTTGAGATGAGGGAGAGAGAGTTGGAGGGGGTTTGTGTTGAGGATAGCAGAGAGTAGGAAGGGTTGAGGGGAGAAAAGAGGGGAGGGGTTAGGGCAGAGGTTTCGGAGGGGTTTGGGGTGTGAGAAATGGGTGTCTACATGGGTGGGGGAGGAATGTTGATGGTTGGGGTCTGTAGAAAGCCCCTGACAGGGCACTTGGTTGCAAGTTGTGTCGCTTTGGCTGGTTGGGGTGCTCATATACAATTGGTATTAGCATAATGGGATTATGGTGTCCCGTGGCATAGTGGTTAGTGCCCTCGCCTCACAAGCAAGAGGACCCATGTTTGATGCCTGGGTGGTGTGAAACCTTAGGAAAGTTTTCTTACTCCATACGCCTCTATTTTTCTAGCAGTAAGTAGGAATCTGCTTGCTAGTCGATTGGTGGATTGCTTTCCAGGGGTAATCATTCCTGCCAAAAAAATTATAATTTGGTCACTCAATCCACGACTGTTTATGGGACACTGCTGTACGCAATTGGCTGCTGCGTTTCGCCCACAAAATATACAGTCAATCCACTTTACGGTATATTCTGTGAAGTGTTTTGAGATATCTCAATGACTTAATAAGCCACTTTATCAAATGCAAGGGTTATTATTATTATAATAATTCTTTCATTGATATCCCCCTATATATTACAGTATTTAATAGAAATTCTGACAAATTGGGTATATGGAGGAAAATAGAGGAATTTTTCCTTCCATTTAAATTGGGATCAAAAATTTTGGAATGTGTTTTTCTGTAAAGAGGCAGAATGCATGATTAAAATAATGCACATGAGTTTTGTTTTCTAAATCTGAACCTTTATTTTGTTGAGGATTTTGTGGGTCTCTTATTTTGAACTATTCAGGCAGTTACGTGAATCTTCTGTTCTCTGCGTCATCCCTTCATTGCTGCTGAGATCATGTCACACAGTGATTGACTAATTATGTACCCAAACATGACCGCCAGTGCATAAAAATCATAAGTGTCCAGAATGCTATCTCTAAATTCTGATACGATAGTAAAGGAAGAATTTTTTTTGAAAAGCAAGCACTAAATTAAAATAAATCCGCAGTGAGATCAACAGTATATGTTACGATATATATCCACAGTTGACAACTCAGAATTTGTTCAAAGACTGACCTAAGTGAGGGGTCTGATAACATTATGGATTGTGAATAGTTAGCCTTTCCAGTTTGTATCCGTGCTTCTGTTGGCACAATTGTTTCTTGTGAGAGAAATTTAGAAGGATTTATCAGAGTACAAGGGCCAATATCACTTCACCCAGTTTATAACAGAATGTAAATATTTCAGTGAGAGTGTGTTTGTGCATATTGATATTTAATGGACAGATTAGGTGCAAGATGTCCATTGAAAGTAAAGGACCATGGGGAGAAATTTCATCTGGGTCTAGATTTACTCTATCTACTTTCAGTGGACATCTTGTACCTAATCTGTGCATTAAATATCAATATTTTACAGCAGCCAGAAATTCACCAAATCTTGAATACAGCCTTCATTTTGACAACCAACAACTTGTGTATATAAAGCGCTCTCCACATAAGGTAACATTTCAGAGTGCTTATAAGGATGGAGTTGGATGCCAAGCAAAGATGAGTGAATAGATGCAAATTTTGAGCATTTTATGGGTGGCCATGAGTGCACATTCAGAATTTTACATAAAATTTTACATAAAATTCGACATGATCAAGAGTAGATTTGGGTGGAATTGTTCCCCATGGCCTCTAGTGTAGTGACTGTTTTCATGGGCAAATGAGGAGACTATCTGTGGCAGTAAAGATCCACAAATAGCCCAGGAGGTGTTGACCTATTTATGTATATGCAGAACAAATTCCCTTCTCTTATCAAATTGTGTCATGGGACCTTTAAGAGTCACCTGAACTGGCAGACATGTTATTTGCCACATTTTATGATGGTGAGTTCCTCTTTCAAATAAAATTCCATTTACCTCGGAAACTGAAGTTCTGATATGGACAGGTATCTGTTTGTGTAAAACTCGATTGTCTCTTGGGATAGTTTTCAATAAGCACACAAGACTGGAGTTTCCTTATTCCTCCAAAGTGTACACTCAGTGGCCATGTTTGGCCTGAGAGAATCGGTCATAAAGAACATAATTATGCCAGATGTATACTTTGAAATGGGTTCTCATCTGACCTATCTGTCCAACCACATTTTGGATATACGAGTCAAGCTTCGATCTCATCTAAAAAGCTTACGTTAGCATAAGGCAACCTCAGGTAATTAATTGTCAACAACTTGCATTTATATAGCAGGGTAGCGTCTCAGAGCGCTTTCAGATTAGATCTGGACAAATGGGAAATTTCAGATCTTTCCAAGCAAATTGAAAATTTTAAAATATGTAACCAAGCTCTGGCTATGGCATTTCTGCTTCTAAACCATTCAATAGATAGATGGCAACATTTATGCCCTTGAAAAGGTTTGGACAAAGAAGCAAATGTATTTTGATGCGCATTATATTTTTCACACGAGAAGCAGGTGACTGTCTTTGCTTCACTTATTAGTGAAACAGAATTAAAATTTCCTTTCATTGATGAGTTTTGTTTTACAAGCACCATCTGGAATAATTGATGTGCGTCAAATTGTTGATCTTGAGGTAGATTTGACACAATGAGGTAGATTGACACAAGCGAACAAAATTTACTCTGGATATTGAAACGCTTCAGTTCAAAACAAACAAGCAATAGTTTGGGTCTCCACAAGCACCAATATTCATTACTTTTGTACCATGAAGATTTGCTTATAGACGACTACTACAACTACACTAAAGATTGGAATTCAAAAGGACCTCTTTATAAATATTGTATTTTACCATTTACTTCCATATTTCTATGTACATATTTCATATTTCTATTAACATCTGTTTAACATCAGAATTAAGCAGCATTAACAGTAGCATTTTATTGTGCTAACTTGTATAAGAGATCCACTTTGGACATTTGATTCCAATTCTTGTTATACAAGAATGCCTTATTTCTAATTTGCACAAAACTGAAACATAAATCAGATTTAATCATTTCAAGCCCTGCATGATAATGTACATTTTAGTCTCTAGGCCTATGTAACTGATGATTGTGATGTTTATTGTGTTTACTCAGATAAATCATTCCCATCTATATTGGATGTAATGATATATTTTATAATTTTGTTACCTTGAATATTTTTTGCAGTCGTTACCATCTGCCCAAAAACATGGCCACTTTGTAATAAAAATTGTGGCTTTTGCAGTTAGATGCTTGATGTTTCTTGGAATGTTCTAGTGTTAAATGTATCATAATCTAATGTTACAAAATTGGATTATGTAACTGAATCTCCATTCTCAATGATCATGTCCATTGTATTTTCATGTAAACAAATTGTATTTTGATGTAAACAAATTATACTACTTTGTTTTAAGATGCTTATTCCAAGCCCCCCAAAAATGCAATTCTGTGTTTGACTAATTGAAGTCTAGTAATTATACAATTTATTTTAGTGGAAAATAAATATTTTCTTTGAAATAATAAATTGATTTCAATTCCACAAATTCAAAATATGTGTCAAGCATAAGAATGTACATAGAAAGAAAAGCCATACTTTGTAGGATAATCCATAACAAACATGCAACACTTGTTTCCTTTAACACAGAAAAATAATGATTTTGTTTGTTTTCTTTGACAAACTTATTAGTTTATTGCATTGAATAAAGTAACTTTGGGATTCTGACCTTTGCGGTTAATTACTACTAATTTTCATTTATCTTTTCTGCAGTTTGTGTTTTGTACTTGCAAGGAATTGGAACGAAGGAATGGAGAGAGGTATGTAAAAAAGATTTGAAATACTAAAATATGAGGGCTGAATTTCATTAAGTAAATGTAAACACTGAACGCAAATACTGTATTCAATATAAAGACTGAATGTGACCATTGCTGCAAAGGCTAAAAGTACTGGATGTGATACATAATTATGACATTTTTCTCCTTGATAGAATCATAGAATATTACAACACAGAAAGGAGGCCATTCGGCCCATTGTGCCTGTGCCACAATCAGTCCTACTCTTCTGCTCTTTCCCCATACCCTTGCAATTTTTTCCTTTTCAAGTACCTATTTAATTCCCTTTTGAAGGATGTTATTGAATCTGTTTTTACCATCCTTTCAGGCAGTGGATTCCAGACCATAACAACTCTCTGTGTAAAAAAAATTCTTCTCATTTCCCTTCTGGTTCTTTTGCCAATTATCTTGAATTTATGTGCCCTGATTACTAACCCACCGGCCAGTGGAAACAGTTTCTCTCTCTACTCTACCTGTATTAAATCCCCCCTTAAAACCCCCCATCTTCTCTGCTCTAAGGAGAACAATCCCAACCTCTCCAGTCTCTCCCCAAAACTGAAGTCCTTCATCCCTGGTACCATTCTGGTAAGTCTCCTCTGCACCCTCTCCAAGGCCTTGATATCCTTCCTAAAGAGTGGTGCCCAGAATTGGACACAATACTCCAGCTGAGGCCTAACCAACAACTTGTCACATGATTTCTTTGGAAATAAAATCAGATAAGGTGAAAATGAGATGAATGTTTGCGAATGAAAATTTTGAATAAGGGAAGCATATTAGCCAGGCACCACAGGGGGCTTTTTACTTTTTTTGAAATAGTGCGATGGGATCTATAACGCCCACCTGAACTCAGCACCACTAAAATATTTGCAATTCTAACATGAAAGAGAACATTCAGACTTTTAAATACACTTTTGAATCATTCTTTTACTTTGCTGCCAATGGTTATCAGTTCAGTCTTGCCCCGGAGGCCATTCATATAATAGTCAGCATTTTCATGGAGTAAAAGAGTACAATGTATGATTTTGCAAAGAATGAGTGCTTCATAGGGAGGATTAATGCTTTCTGTACAATTATGTATCCACATAATATGTTCTAACTAGGATCCAATATGTGATATTTCTTAATGGATATCAATAATGATCAGATTTCCAAAAATACTATATCAGTTATGTTCAATATAACTGATATAGTATTCACAGAATTCAATATTCACCAATTAATTCATGCCATTATATTGGATATTTTAAATTTCCCAGAGCTTATCTCAGTCTAGAATACACTGAGTTCCGACTCACAACTTAATCAATTTGAATCTGTCTGTCCCATTCTCTCAGACTGTAATTAACAACTGGAATGGATTGTCAGGAAAGGCGTTGAGGCCAGGATGTTGGACTTATTCAAGAAACAGTGTGATGCTGTAATGAAAAAGTGAACATTAGTAATCTTGAATAATTAGTCAAATGTTCCAACAGGCATTATTATCCAAACCTCTCTTGTGAATAAGTGAAGACTCCGACCTTGAGAGTGTGCATCTGTCCATACCGATCCGGATCAGAGGAATAATTTGGAATATATTGTACACAAGTGTGAAATCAATTCAGTGACAGTCAGCAGCATTTTAAAAGGCTATTGTGTAATGGGGCTGAAGTATGAGGAAGGAACATACCTGGGAGAGGAGGGAGTGAATGAACCGGATAATCCTGAGCACAATTTGTAAATTGGAATAGGGATAGAAGAAGAATAAATAAGGATAAGAGTGACTTGACCATTTTAAAAAAGTTCTTTGGGGCTACGGAAGTGTGGAAAATTAGGGAATTTACGATTGAGGGTCAATAATTTTCAAAGAGAGTGAAAAATTTGGAATGACTGTGAGGAGAAAACCACCAAAATGGGCAATGGAGGAAGGGATTGGGGAAGAGAGCAGCTGCAGCAGAGGTGACCAACCAAGCTCCTGCTTAACTGGTCTCATCCCCATTTCACTGGTTCCTCCCTAGTGCCTTTTATTGTAGATGATAGCAGCCCTATTGTGTGGGACACCCAGACCAATCATAACTTGGGTTAGTTAAGGAGTGAGGATTTCTACACTGTCATGTACTTTATTCTAACCAAATAAGAGAACCTCCTCTGCACTAGTCAGAATGTTTGCAATTCCCTTAGCAACATCATTGTGAGTTCTTTGATTAATGATAATTAGTGAGAAATGAGAAGGTTTGTGCTGTAGACCCATGCATACAGGAAACTCCGTTGGACCTAGTTTGAGATTGTCAAATTCATTTCGTGTAGGATCAATAGTGTGGAAAGGTCAGAAATTTCATCCCCTCAATTATTTTGAATTAAATTTCAATGTTGAAAGGACAGTACAGTGAGCCGTTGCATCACAGATTTAATCAGGTTACTTAAATGAATTTATACAATTACACACAGATTGCAAGTTAAACTGATAAAAGCATAGAAAAATGACTGGCCTTTGACAGCAAAAAGGAAATAGAAGCTGTCTGATGCCAAGTGAAATCAGGGGTTATTTACTGAAGTTCTGTTAGCTCTATGCAATTGGGCAATTAAATTGAGCAAGATCAGAGCTCTTGATTATCTGTCATACAAGCATCTAGTGCAACAGTTTTACAACCATCCAAGTAGGGGTTGAAGTTAATGAAGTTAAGGTAAGATGGGTGCTTCTCAAACATTTATGCCGGTTAAGTTACCTTTTTGTTTTGGAATATCACTAAAACAAAACATGTAAATGTCTACTACTTTATTGGCTGTTATTATTCAGTATCATATATCACTATGCTTACAGGATTATGCAGGATTTCAGGAGATGATTAAAATCCATAAATTTGCTTTGAATTTATTTTGCAGTTGTAATGATTTTCAAAACAGTCCTATCTCAATTCCTATTTTGCTCTTTTGCTTTTCTTACTCACTTTCTTTATCCCGCAGTGGAAGGGATAATGCTTCTTAAAGACTTTCTGATTACTTTTCATCTTTACTTGAGTCATTCAATCTGGATATGGTATTGTATTGCACAATGATTTGAAAAATGGAATTCAAAAGACCTTGGCTCGTTGATATTTTTGGTCTCTTAAGAGCATCACAGTTGTGAAATAACAACTGAGAAGCGATTCTTGCTGTGCCACTCAACTGCTTTATCTTGCTGCCATTCAAGATTTTTAAATATATCTAATATGCATGATGTGGTTTTGATCAACCGTAAAGATAGGGTTTCTGGCAACAACAGATTTTAACAAAACCAGGAGGAATTTCAAGGATGGATATTATAGGGGTGTTGAATTGGGTCTCGCAGAGCACAGATTGAATTTAACCGCCACAGCAGAAATATTGGAATGATTCTAGGTTTAAATTCTAAAACATCAATCACATTTTACAAGTACGGTAGAGATACTCAGCCCTGTTTTAATATGAAAACGTACACTCCAATCTTGGAGTCCTGTAGCTCAGTGGTTAGAGCACTCGCTTTGCAAGTGAGAGACCTGAGTTCAATTCCAGTCAGGGCGAAACCTTGGGCAAGTTTCCTTACTCCACACAGAGCCTAATAATAATCCCTCCAAAAAAAACCAAAAACAATAATAAATTGGTCATTTTCAATCTACGACTGTTTGTGGGACATTGCTGTGCGCAATTGGCTGCCGCGTTCGCCCACAAATATACAGTCAATTCACTTTACAGTGTATTCTGTGAAGCGCTTTGGGACGTCCTCCCGACGTGAAAAGCGCTATATCAAATGCAAGGATTATTATTATTATTATTATTATTATTATAACAGTTAAACATTTCTTGATGCAAGAACATTTCTAATTTTGATATTGAAATTGAACATTGTAAGAATCATTAATTACTCCACTGCAATCGATTTCAAGATCCTCACACTTTTTTTTCAAATCCCAAGCCCTGATACCTCTGTATCTCTCTGAACTCCTTATTCCCCAACCCACGACCCTCTGCCTCCGCTCGACTGGCCCTCTGTTCCACCATCGGTGGCCGAGCTTTCAGCCACTACATCCAAAACTCTGGAACACTCTTCCTCTATCCCTCCACGTTGCGCTTTCCTTCCCCATCTTCAGGTTGCACCTGAAGACCTTCCTCTTTGACCGTGCTTACAGTCACCTCCCCCTCCCCCCAGCTCGGGGTTGTGCTCCGCCACTATCAAGGACACTACCCTGAGGGAGGGGCGCTATATAAATGCAAATTGGTGGTGTTGTTATTATACATCAATCTAGATTAGTGGATAATATATCTTGAGAGACAGGTTATGCAGTTGTCCTTATATTTAGTGTGTTGTATCAAATGTATAAAAATAATTCTATTCTATATTTTCCTTTTTAAAGACTGGAAGAACAGAAGTAATAGACAATACCTTGAACCCTGATTTTGTCAGGAAGTTTATTCTAGATTACTTCTTTGAAGAACGGCAGAATCTTCGATTTGATTTGTAAGTAGATTTGTTTTGATGTTCTTTATATCCCTTTATGGCTGTTGTGGAACAATACTTGCAAAATGGCTAATATGTTTGTTTACAAGATACACTATGCAGTGAATCCTGTGAAGCACTTTGAGACATTCTGATGACGTGATAAGGCACTATATCAAATGCAAGAATTATGTTCGCAATGTAATAAATATTTCACTAGAAAACATTAGGGTATTTCTCAGCAGATAAGAAATGTGGAATCATTGAATTTCTTTTGCAAATTCTGTTTTTTAAAATGTTAATAATTGCACATATCTTGTTCAAAAAATACAAGTGTTACTTTGTCAATGTTTTGAAGATATGACATTAATCGTTCAGTGATTGAAATTGGCAATATTGTGATAATATATTTTATACTATATTCATCAAAACCTGGTGAATTCAGATTTAGAATAAGATTTAGGTACATGAGCCCACAAGTTTTGGCTCTTCTAATTTACCTGATACTTTTAGTCTAGCTTCACATTCCTTGTTTAAATGAATCACAGACTCCATAAGATCCATAGTTGCTTTAAGTGAAACACTAACTTTATATGGATGACAGAAGCAATGTCATCTAAATTGTGCTGCATATACTCGCTTACATTCCTTATAAACTAATTTATCACTTTTTCATGTATGTGTTGCTTAGTGTATCAATTTTTTTTATTTTTATATTAGGCAATGTAATATTCCTAACTCATTTGTTCTTTAATTATCACCAGGGATAATTAACAAAGGTGTTATCGACTGGAAACAGTCCTGTGATTACGGTTTTTGGATTCAATCTCCCCCCCCCCACCCCAAACCCACACATGGTAAAATAGTTTCTCCTTCAAAACCTTTCAGAATTGAACTGCCACTATCTTTGTTTTTAACACCCAATTATTTTGGTGCCTATCTCAGCAGATTGGGTAATAGAGAGACTGCGAATTTCCTATTTTTCACCAGATAAGGGCAGGTAAAGTAAAGTAAAAGGAAAGGCAATTCTAAAGGCTACAAATCAAAGAATTCCTCCAGGCTATTTAGGAACCTCAAAGAAAGGGAGATTGAGCAACGAGAGGTAGTGTTTTCCAGAGTCATTGATGGTGACTTATTTTGTCATTTTATATCTGATGTGGACTTATGTTTGATGATGTATTTTGTGACTCATTTAGCATTCCACTGAGCATCGCCAAAAGACTTTGACATGGTCGGGCAATGTGCACTTCAAAACAAGCTGCCTTCTTATTGTCTTCCATTTCTTATTGTCTTCAATTTAACTATCTGGTAATGGTTGGTTTATCTGTGATGTAGTTGACGGTTCAGGCTTCCCCCCCCAGTGACTTGGGGGTGCCCTATCCAAGTTCTGAATTAATCAAAAAACAAAATCGAATCTGTTTTTTGTGCTGTCATGTTCTAACGTTTTGTGAATCAGGCACCAATCCAGAAACAAATGGAAGGCAGATTAGACATTATGCTAGATTACAACAACAACAACAAAAGTTACATTTGTACAGTGCCTTTCACGTCGGGAGGACGTCCCAAGGCGCTGAAAAGTATAATATATTATTCATTTTGTTTTAATCTATTTGGACATTATTCTGAGTGATGCAAATTTGTTTTAGGTTCATCTCTGCTTTTATTTAGACTTTAATAGCTGTTCAGGAAGCCACGTTTTTAGCCTTTGTGTCTCCTCTGTGTATTTGGAGCATTTAGCGTCCATGTGAACCTTAATTAATTGGAGAACTGAGGAAATATCAGCCCAAACCAAATTCTAGGCAGATGTCTGATGTTCAAAAGAATATTTGCACTGCTGAAGGGGTTAAATACATGAGTCACACATTAATGATATTCTGTTTTTTAAGTGCAGTATCTGTGTGCACTGACTTGCATTAGAAACTGATGTAATTTAATACCGTACATCAAGCATGAATAAATACACTTGGCAATATGGCATCATCAGCAGTGTAACATTGGTTTCAAGCTCACAGGTCTTCAGTAGGGAATTCATACTTTTAATTGTGATTATAGTAACACATTGTGTTCCAAAGATTTTATGCTTTACCTGGGAAACATTTTTGCTTTGTTATGGAGGGCAAAAAAAAATCTTGTATCTTGTTTAAAGATGATGCACATAAATGGAAAGATCTGGAAGTAGGATCATGTGACCCTTATATTTTCTACTTGGCTATTAATATGAAATGGGTTAGCTTGGAATTTTTTTTGTTACTGGAGGAGGTGAAAGACAGTGATGCCTACGCTCACCTCCCTCCTCCCACCGGCTTAGCATCATGCTCCGCCTTTATCAAGAGCTCTGAGATGCTACCCTGCATGAGGGGTGCTATATAAATGCAAGTTGTGGTTGTTGTTGATTCTCACTTCTGTAACTACAATTTGATGCAAAGTTCAATGCATAAGAATTCTTTGATGTGCATTTTGTGCATGGGCTAAGATCTCCCAATCAGAAGGCTCACATTCCTCAAGATTTTCATTGGGGTAGGAGCCTATCTTTAAAACAATATGCTGCCTTTATGTTTTTTCATGAAAAGGAAGGTAAGAAATATTAAGGTGACCAAGGATGAGTTGAATGGGAACATATTTTAAAATTTAAGTCATCAAGTTTCCAGATTCTAGATGTGAGTTTGGAGGAGAAGAGGAGGTGATCTGGTGCATTTGGTTTACTTAGGTACAAACATTCCAGGTTAATTCATTATGTTTCTCAACCCGCCCACCACCTCCCTCCTCTCCCTTTTCTCTCTTTGTGGAATTGTCACCCTTCCCTGCAAACAGAGATGAAAAATTTACTGTAATGTGAATTTTGAGTGATGGTCTGTTTCCTAATGTATTTGCATACTTATGCACTGTTGGGACAGAATGGGAATTGTGTATGATGAAAAATGCCTTACATTGAATGGCTGACACATAGCTCTGAGAGTCTGTCATAATTTCTAGCATATTTCAGAAACTATTGAGTGTTTGAATGAGATTTGCAAATTTCCCCCAGGAATTGTTCATATTCTGAGATGATGCTAGATAATTGTGTCTTTTGGAGCAATGTTAATAACATTAGATTGAAATGAAGGGTAATGAGCCTTTCGTGGCTTCCTTACAATAGAAACCACTCTTTCTAATTTCACACTCACCTGTAAAAAAAGTGTAAATGAAAAAAAATCAAAATGAATGTAGTTTAAAATGTTCATCTCATTCAGATGCTATTAATCTAGTAATCTAATAATCTAATTTTCATATCTTGACTGCTAACACACCCAAACATTTTACTGCATATTTCATTTTAAACCCAAACCAGAAATATCATTTATTGTTAGTGACTGGGGTGTGAAGGACTATTTTCGATTCCTGATATATCTCCAGTGCTTAAATGTCAAAATTCTTAATCCAAGTTGTGCCACTTTACCCATTAAGGCTTTGGCTCACAGAATTAAGGATTTTTCATAGGCGTTTGGTGAAAAAACAAAACTAGATTAATAGCTTAATGTAACTTGGTTCTAATATAACAACAATCTACATTTATTTAGCTCCCTTCAAATAGAATAATGTCTAAAAGCACTTCGTAGGGATGTGGTTGCAGAGCAAGGCGGGGAGGGAAGAGAAGAAGTCACTTTTTAGGTGGGATTTAACGGGAGGTAGAGAGGGAGTATTATGAACGGGATGGGAGTTCAATTACTCAAGGCTTGGCTGCCGATGGTAGCTCAGAAGGGACGGGCCTGAGTTAGCAGAGCAAACTGCGCGAGCCAAGGAATGGAGTTGAAAAGATGACAGATATGTGGAGGTGCTAAAGTGTGAATGGATTTGTAGGTGAAGGTGAGGATCTTGAAATTATTCCATTGGAAGACAACGAGCCAGTGGAGCCTGTTGAAGACTGGTGATAGGCATGTGGAGTTTAGTAAGGGTGAGGATACAGGAGAGTTTTGAAAGAGCTATCACAATAACAACTGTAACAACTCATTCTAATATTTTGGCACAGTGATGACTAAACTGGATATGTTGTCCAGAGTGTTATGTTGTATAAAGATATCTGCACACCTTGTGAAGTGCAAACAAAATGGTTAAAAAAATCAGATGGGATTTGAACTTCTGCAAATTTTCTATCCTGCTTCCTTCTTTGACTCCTGGGAACCATAGTCTTTTGACTTAATTGTCAGGCGAAGTAACTAAATCTAGCACAGAAATGTCAAATACATGTAGAGAAGTAGATGTCTCTCAGGATTAATTTATCCAAAATCAGACTGCAGCAGGAGTCACTAGCTCTTGTTGGTGTACATTAATCCCATTGTGAATTTCATGTTAAAATCAATAGGTAAGTAGAGACTTTGCAGGAAAGTGCTTTTGAATATCTATTCAAGTTTTATTCCCACGAATAAACCATTAAAATCTTGCCCTTAAATAGGAATTCAGCAGGACGTAATGTTTTGTTTTGAATATACACTTGTTTGGGGTATATATTTTCTGTACAATTTATTTCTTTAACAAATTATAAATTAAATTTTAGTGAGGGCATTTTTTTAAATAAGTCTATAGTTTGGTCTCAATGCTTATATGATTCATAGAAATTTTCAGCACAGAAGGAGGCCATTCAGCCCATCAAGTCTACACCAGCTCTCAAAGCAAGCTGTTTATTCAATACCTATGCCATTCCTTATCTCCACACCCCTTCAAGCCTCTGTCTTTCATATATCTGCCCACCTCCCTCTTCAAGCCCACAATGGACACTCCGCTAATACCTTACTTGGCAGGGCAAGCTCTTCTTTTACTCTTTTGTTCTCATTTTGCTCTTGTGACTGTAACAATATTAATAATCTTATAACTATGTCCCCAGTCACTGACTCTCCTAGCAGTGGACATAGTACTTTGCAATATGAAGTAGATTTCATCTCACCTTTCCCTATAGTGGGGAAATTTACACATATTTACATAGACTGTATTGGATTGGAACAGGCCATTCAGCCCAATCAGTCCATGCCATTCAATATGAATCCCCA